AGCTTGCCAGACTGCTTTCAATGGCAAACTATAGAGTTTTAGCTGGTTAAATTCCAGCAGCATCCCAAAACACAGTCTTAAGTTCCCAAACCTTGGCTATTGATGACCCGTTCCTAATACTCCCCAGAATTAGGTAAGCAGGATGCATTCCTCTGAGGAAAGAAGGTGAATTCTATTCCAAACACAAGAACCCTACGTCTAGTTTGGATATATGATGATGGGGTTTCACATACATGCCTGACCACAAAATATATTTTTCAAATTCTGAATCAGTAATAATGCTACAATTGATGTCATATTCAGATAGACAGTTATCTTCCTGTTTAGGTGAACACTAAAGATCCCAGGGTAATATTTGTAAAATGAAGGGGGTATCCACCTATGTGCTGCCTAAGAAACCTTCAGATAAACTGGTCATTTACATCATGGCTGTTTGTGGAACCTTGTTAATGTAAATTGCTGCTACGTTTGCCTACAATAGAAAATGAGTCACAACAACTGACTAATAAGCTGTGAAATGCTGCGATCATTCAATGTGTTTAGATGCCATTAAATCTAATTACAAGGAAGATTATTCGTTTTAAATAATCCAAGTGCAATACCACATGCATACACTCCCAAAACAAAACAGACTTGTAAAGGAATGTAAAGGAATATATATAAGTATGTATACAAGAATATAATAATAATAATAATAATAATCCTTGCATTTTATATAGAGCTTTTCAGGTCTTCTAGGAAACTTACCTAACATTTATATATTATATAAAACCTACAGAACCCAGCTTTTGGAGAAATATATGACACCTGTCAGCAGTGGTGACAAACCATACAGGACAGAAGTATGGGTGACAGGAGCACAGCTATAGCCTTGTAACCGAAGTGTGCTCAAACCATGTTCCTGTCACTGTCGCACATTCTTTTTTAAATCCATCAAATAAGCAAAATAGCAACCATGTCAGAAGCTTGGCTGTACCAAAGCATTTGTGAAAATCGAGGAGTATATTACTAACCAAGTGTTGCTATGGTAACAAAAAAAGACAAGACACCTAATTGCGCTTCTACTGTGAGAAAACAGATTATAAAAAAGCAAGAAATGATTAGCACTGCAATAGCAGGTAGTCTTAGAAGTACAGTCCAAACCTGTTAATAACGCAACTTGCTCTTGCACGGGTCAATTCATAAGAACAGGTAGGTTGTGCAGAATGCAGGAAATAATGCCCGAGTCACTTCCTATTCAATCACTGCACTACATTGTCACCGCTAATTAAATCATTAAAACTAAATTTACAGATGACCATCTGTGAAGGCTTAGTGACTTACCAACTGCTGAATTATATTCAAAGATTGATCACCTGAATCCTAAAGTCAAATGTTATCACCTTTGACCACTCCACCATATTAAAGCTGGAAAGATCACAAGGACTGCTGCTGACGCATGATTCTGATATTATTACAACAGTACAATAGCTGTGGTCCAACTAGGTGAACTGAAAATAAACAAAAGCGGAATCAGACAAAGTATCTTGAAATGTATATGTAGCTGGCTGACCGATCGAATCCAGAGGTGGTGATACAGGGAATTTCATCAGGCTGGGAGAATGTTACAAGTGGAGTTCCACAGGTCCCCTCTTTTATTTAAAATCTTCATGAATGACCTGGAGCAGATGACACAAACCTAATGAAGGTGGTAGACTGCGAAGATGAACAGGATAGGTTCATCCTGGAGGACTTGAACATAGAATCATAGAACTTTACAGCACAAAAGGAGGCCATTTGGACCATTGTGCCTGTGCCGGAACATACTTGGGAATTGAGCAGATTGATGGTAGATTAATTTGAATGTAGAGAAATGCAAAATGTTTCACATGGGGACAAAAAATCCAAGAAGTGACTATTATTTAAATGGAAAGAAAATAAGCTGTACGGAGAATGAAAAGGACCTAAGAACCTGATCGATAATAAATTGAAGCTATTGCAACAGTGCTCAGTAGCAGTGAGTTAGGCAAACCAGATGCTGGGCTGTATTAAAAGGGCAATATTGAGCTGAAATAGTGGGTAATCCTGCCACTTTATAAATCACTGGTGCAATCGCACTTGGAATACTGTGTGTAGTTCTGGTCACCGCAGTACAAAAAGGATATTGCAGCAATTGAGAGGATACAGCGTTGGGCAAACAAAACGATTGAGGGGATGGAGGGACTAGACTATGAGGAGCGATTAGGGAAATTGGGCATGTTCACACTGGAAAAGAGAAGATTGAGGGGTGATATGATTAGGGTTTTTAAGATTCTACAGGGACTTGATAATGTAGACCACGACAAACTGTTTTATCTTGTACTGAACAGTAGGACCAGAGGACACGGCCTGCGATTGAAGGGGGGTAAATTAAGAACAAATCTATGGAAACACTACTTCAGTGAGTGAGTAGTAAACGTATGGAACAAGCTCCTTAGTGAGATGGAAGCAGAAAGTGTTGATTCCTTCAAAAACTAATTAGGTGGATTACTGTTCGGAAATAATATCTCGGTATACCGTATTGTTAGAATTTTCTTAACAGTATATAGTTTGGGACACGACATGTCATGTGACCACCAGGATGGTGGAAGGAGAACTGGATGGACCTTAGGTCTTCTTCTGCCTAATAAATTCTTACGTTGTTATGAAAAATGACTGAATACATTTTTGTTTGTCCATAAAACATTCTTATTGTATAACTTATACCATTTTTTAAATGAGTATATATTTAAGAACAAAATTGGATTTTTAAAAAAATACAATACAAATTTACATTTATATAGTGACTTTCATGTCGGGAGGACATCCCAAGGTGCTGGACAATCCAGAATTTGCACGAGAGCTGGGGTGGAGGTTGAGGAGTGAGGGATGAGGCCCCTAAAATGGGCCAAAAGCACAGTCAACGAGGAAGATGTTAAGGCAGATCTTGGAGGAGGTGAGGGAAGGCCAGTCATAGGGACTCCACAATCCAGTTCCAGAGAGAGGCAAAGCCCAACTGACAATGGGGGATGTGAAGCTGATACAATGGGTTGAATGATCTTCTTTTCTGTAAATTTCTATGACTATGTAGAACCTTAGAAATCCACGGCAGGAGGAAGGCCACTCGGCTCACCGTGTCTATGAGGTAAATCTCCTCTGCATCCTCCTCTATCGCCTTGACATTTTTCCTAAAGTGGAGTGACCATTACTGGACACAAATATAAAACTAACAATTTATATAAGTTTAGCATTACCTCTTTGCTTTTAGATTCTAAAAGTCCTACCTCTTTGATGCCTCCTTCAGTCACCTTCCTCCTACCCCCACCCACAAGGCACTATACAAGGCAAGTTGTTGTGGAATAGATAATATGAGGACTATTGTTGTAATTCAATCTGTCATCTTGTGCACAATTAATAGTCAGTCACAAAATGAACACAAGTTTGGTAAAACTATAAGTGCATGCGGGATTTTAAACCAGTTAGTTTTCATAAATAATTCATTAGAGACCAAACCTTTAAAGCACTTCTTTACAAATTTAGGTTATGAGAGCTTTTTTTATATAAATACAAGCTTAAAATGTATAACAAATCTATGGTGTCATGAATACTAATTTAGAATCATGATAACCTGTCGTTCTCTTTTGGGGTATTGGAGAGATTGTGGATTTCCACATTTTTATCTGTACTATAACGGACAGTTTCTAGGATCTTTGAATAACTAACGTTGACCTTAAATTTAAAACTAGCCTTGGAGGGTTCTCATAAATAAAGATAAAAATGAACTGGCATCAATTGGCATGGTAACTATCCCTTTGCTAGGGAATAAACATTGAAATTAAACTGACATATGAGATGGATTTATTTTTTAATAGTGTATTATAATGCTGCTTATTACTTCACTACTATATATAGACTATGTTGTCAGTATAGTCCAATCTTTTATATGGTTAATCTTCATATCTGCTCTATCTAAAAGCAAGTAACATTTGGTCACAACTACATCCTATCAAAATGAAGTACCATATGATCAATGTTAAACATTAAAAACATTTGAACTATGTATGACCTGTCATTGTTTCGCAAGGCCCAGTAAACATTATATAACAGTATAAATGGGAACAAATTTGACTAAATATAAATGACAATCTCATTAAAACCAGTGAACATTTATCATCTATTATCCAAACACATTAGTAAATACAGCTGAAGAAAGTTTACAATATTAAATTCTTCTCAACCTCAAGTTTCTTTCCCTATCTCTCCTTTCCTCAGGCAGTGAGTGACTCAAGCTTCGTATGGTTCTGTTGGCAGCAGCAGTTCTTCAGTACCTTCTCAAGAAGCTATTTTTTATGTGTGAGTCTAGAAAGCAAAGTACTTTTCTAGTTTACCACTAGCATACTGATAATCATTTAATTCTATACAAACTAAAATGTTTGCACTGAACCAATATTTTTCCAGAATTTCATATAAACCTCATGCTTAAGTAGAATCGTTGACAAGATGCTTAGGATTCTGGCACCAAACTTTTGAAATGATTTTGTCCAGTTTCTCTGTTAAACAGGGAAAAGTGCCAACCAGACACGTTATGCCCTGCAATCCAAATCAGAAATGACTGGATGTGAGAAGCAAACAAACCCATTGATTATTAGCTACTCTGAATGGGCTTTACTTAATACAGAACGCAAAGTACTTCAATTCGATTGTTTGTTTATCATTGTGACCTGTTGTTACCATGCATTGACAACCAACCTGACAAGGAGGAATTAATCCTCCTCCATGATGTATAAAACAGATTATCCTTCTTAATTACATCTAAATCTACAGTGTCCATGTGTGTGGCAGTTCAATAAGCAGGATCAATCTACTTTTCCAAAGTAATGTTTCTCCACAGAATCTGATTTTTAGCAGGTTGTTGTATTTCGATTTACTTCATTAGTACCTAATTATAGCCGTAACAAAGATAGAGATATGAGCATTAGGAGCAATCTCTGCAAAATACCTACCTGACTAAGTTTTCATTGTCTCCAGGCCCCTTACATGTAGCACATTCTGTTCTCGAATCTTCTGATTTTGGTCTTTTTGGAAATGAGGAAGAGGATGCCTGTCGACGTCTTCTGGCTCGAGGAGGAGTTGGTTCCTAGACATTCACGGCAAAATATTTTTTTTTCCCCAGAGGCCATTTATGCAATATGAAAATTGATTTGTTCAAATATATAAAAAAAGCAGAGTCCAAGTGAAATACAAACCTCATTTTTTTCTCCATCAGAACTGGTTCCACGCTTTCGTTTTTGGCCTCTACTTTTCTGAAAAACAAAACAGAATACGTCTTAAATCTGTACATTTTATACTGGTACATTTTGTACTAGTATATTTTCTCAGTCAATGCTTTAAGAGTGAAAAGCTGCACAGTTTCAGAATTAAATTCCACTGTCTGCAATCATCTGTTAATCACCAGGGTCTGTATAACTTTCTAAATCATGAATAAACCAATACAGTTTAGGAACTAACACACCGTAATCTGACCGAAAATTGATAATAGGGCTGTGAATCTTTCCCCTCCAAAAACACAAATTTTATTTCGCGCAATCATTTAATATAGCTCCTGACATTTGCAACACAGAAAAATGCAGCAGACAACTGATGTAGATTTATGCTGTGGTCTGCGTAAGACCTCCAGTTGACTGTATGATATACATAAACTCAAAATGTACTGAAACCCTAACTTCAACCAATGTTCGACTTTCACAGGCAGAGGGCTCTCTTGGATGGTTTCCTGCATCATAGATCTAAATAAAAAAGCAGCAAACAATTGAAGCATTCTCTTCCCCAGTAGTTAATTATAGTAAAAAAATCATTGAAAGCACCACTTGAGAATTTATCTGTTCTCAACAGTTGTTGTCAATTGTAAAACCTTTCGATTTCTGTTCTGTGTCTCTTCCTTAGACTGGAGACATCAGCCTCACTTTATTTTGTTACCAATACTGTACCTGAATGTATACTGAATGTTAGTTCTTTAAATAATGTTGAATTTCTTCAAGTATTTGTTGGCCTATTATAAAACACTGGTTAGGCCTCAGCGAGAGTACTGTGTTCAGTTCTGGGCACCACAATTTAGGAATGATGTCAAGCCATTGTAGAGGGTGCAAAGGAGATTTACCAGGATGGTACCATAAATGAGGGACTTTAGTTATCAGGAGAGGCTAGAGAAGCTAGGATTATTCTCCTTTGAGCAAGGAAGGTTAAGAGGAGACTTAATAAAGTTTTCAAAATTATGAGGGGGTTCGATAGGGTGAAAAAGGAGAAACCATTTCCACTGATGAGTGGGTTGGAAACTTGAGGACACTGATTTAAAATAGTTGTTAAAAGAAACTGAGGGGAGATGAGGAGGATTTTTTCACACAGCGATTTGTTTGAATCTGGAATGCATTACCTGAAAGGGTTGTGGAAGCCGATTCGATAACAACTTTTAAGAGAGAAGTAGGTCATTATTTGGGGAGCACAAGATTGCAGGGTTTTGGGGAGAACAGATTCAATTGGATAGCTCTTTTCAAAGGCCTCCTTCTGTGCTGTATAATTCTATGATTAGATGTAGGTTACTTTTAAAAGCTTTAAATACAGTGTTCAAAATATGATGGGCAAATTCCTTCCTGCCAATTTTAAGGAGAATCTTCTACACAACTTCAGATTTCAGATCGCCAACTTTAGTCAGACAATACAACACATTGTACAATATTGCAGAATGTACCAGAGTATTGTCTTAAATAGTAAACCCTGCTCAAAACAGCTATTAAGTGGCATGCGATATTTTATTGTATTGGCTATTTTAAAAAGAAGTTGGTTAAAAAGGTGAGGTATAAAATACATCTCTGCAGCATCCAGTATCAGTGTTTCATATTAGTAAGATATCTCAACCCAATCAGAATTATGAAATTATCTTAAAGCATCAGCCCACAAACCAGACCTTCATTTTACTATCACAAAGAATAAGGCACAGTTACAAAAAACTGATGAAAAACTAAAAAACAAAAATATGGAAAATGCAGATAAAGCACAGTAGGTCAAACACTAATCAGCCAGCTCAGCAATTCCAGTGGAGATGCTGACACTCACTACATTTAACCTGCAGATACAATTCTCATATCAATGCCATGCCAAATGTTCATGCAGTTCACAATGGAAGCACATGCACATAGAGAATCTGGTACTTAGAACTGGCATAACTGCAAAGTAAATACAACAACTGGAGGAGTGGCCCAACTGTCAGTACATCAACTTTTGTCCCTCGTCCTTGTCAATCTCCATTGGTTTCCAGTGCTTCATGTGATCAGTTTGAGATTCCTGACCTGTCCTTGAAATCTTTCTGTGGGCAAACCCTCACTCTGCCTACGCAATCGCTCCAGGCCTACATTCCTACCCTTACCCTCCACTCTTAATAAACATAGCCTCCTACTTGTTCCCCACTTCCTTTGCTCCATCACTGAATCCATCCACCAAACTGACCACTGCAGTCATTCAATAAGAGATAAGCCAGACAACTGTTAATTGGCGACACGTCCCTTTTTATAATTTGTGCCCCATTTTTCCAACAGGATGGAGCAAGTCGCAGCCAAAAACATTGCTGCACTTATTTATTACTTTATTTATTTTTGTGTGTGGGTGGGAAGTGAAACGACTTTTCTTTTGTTTCAAGGGTAAATATTTTTGGATGGGGTTTGTGCCGACACATGCCAGATGCTAAAGCAACTTTAGCTGGCACAATGTGAGGCCCATCTGACACATCTCACTTCTAGAAACTCACCAAAGAGCTGGTTTCAATTGTCGGCTTTTATGTTTTTTGATTTGCACCCTTTACAATGGCAAACAACAGCTAAACCATGTTGTCTATGTGTCCCAGTGAGGAAACTGATTTTATGTGTAAGGAATTGCGGTGAAATATGGCTAATTGTAGTTGGAAATGCCCTGAAGCCTATACATATTGTGTAAGTTAAAAGTACAGATATACTCCCATAAAAAAACAATATTTAACTGCAGCCAAATATATCTTGTTATATTAAATAGTTATTAATTCACAGCTATTCAGTGTAAGAATTGTAAACCTAATGACTTAGTTGAAAACCCAATCATCTATGTATTAAGTAAATACTGTATGTGAAAGCCTGCAACAAGAAAAAAACATAATCAAGCTCGCTGCTACAATTTACACAATCACTGACTTTACCTTGTTGAAATATCTCCCACAGTAAAGTTCTGTATAAATGTTTCCTGATCTACAATGATTTTATACAACCTGCCACTAGATAACACTATCTTATCTCCTCTCCCCAGACAACACTCCTCTCCCCAACCTGTCCTGGAGTCACCATGCCCTGACACTCTGGAACTCTCTGCTTTAATCCCTCTGCCTTTCCCTGCCCATCTTCAGATCGCACCTAAAGACCTTCCTCTTCGACCGTGTATACAGTCACCTCCCCTCTCTCCTTGCTTCGTCAAGCACCACTATTTTGAGCGTACTGAGATGTTGCCCCACATGAAGAGCTCTATATAAATGCAAGTTATTGTTGCTGTCCTGAATGAAGGACTTCACTTTCAACAAAGTAGCATCTCCTCAAGACTGCTTTGGAATAATAATCCTTCCATTTGATATGCAAGACTTATTACTAAAAAAGAAAATTTAGAAGGTACTGCGCTTCACGTAGATTAGCGAGATTGTGGAACTCTCCATCTGAAGCAATGGTTGAATCAGATAGCATAGATGCATTCAAGAGGAACCCAGACATTCACATGAGGGAGAGGGGACTGGAAGGGTATGAGAGGGTGAAGGAATGGGTGAAACACTTGTACAGAGTAAAAACATCGGCGTGGTGTTGTTGTTGTCTATTTCCGTGCTGGAGTGTTTGTTTGTAAACTCGAAATGTATTTGTTTACGAACTTGGCAGCCAACTGCGCACAGTAATGTCCCAGAAACAGCTGTGAAACAAATGATTTTTATTTGGGCTGGCCAGGATACTGTGAGAAACTCACTTCTCTTTTTGAAAAGTGCCATGAAATCTTTAGCATCCATCTGACAAGCAATTTAACACCTTAGCCGAAGGACAGCACTTCCGACCATGCAACACACTGCCTGTCTGTCAGACTATCAGCATCAATCATGTGAGCTCAAGTCCCGATATGGGGCTTGAACCCACAACCCTCTGAATTAAGAGGCGAGAGTGCTACAAGCTGAGCAAGGCTGACCCACAATATAACAATATAATTTACGATGATGATAATGACGACTTCCAGCCAAAAGTGCTGACTCTAGTTACTGTCTTTAATCTGTAACCAACTATAGGAAAAGGCAAGCTATTTTTATTTTCACTCCCTGGTAGTGGACCAATGTAACCCAACGCTGCATCATACAACTGCTTTACTGGTGAGGGGCAGGGTAAATAAAATATGCAACTGCTCCATTGAAATGTTTAAATGTGTTGGTTTAGAAAAGTGTTACTTCTTTAAATTATTGGTCACTTTATTGCTTCCTTTTTGTATGACTAATCAGCTGTATTGTTATGTTCTTATTGATCTAGATAAGTTCAGTTCTGTTGCCATATTGGAACTGGTATCTAGAAGTGCTCTACAGATATTGGGATTGGAATTATTCATTGTCTAGATTTGCAAATGGTGACTTCTACAGGTACTGAATGTGAGGGATGGATCAGTCTCCTCAATCCCAACCCATGAATGTATCTTTCATGGAAATTCAATCCATTATGTATCACAAATGAACAATCCATTAATCAAATATAGGGTGAGTCACTCTGACTTAGTCTAATAGGCTGTTAGAACTTATTACACTGACGTTGATCCCCCTTAAATAAAATGTGAGATTTTACTAGTTCATTCTCCTCAAAGGTGTTTCTAGATATGTTAACCCCAAGCATCTGGAACAAATAAACAAGTCGGGAAAGAATATTAAATTTGAGAACACTATCTCTACCAAGCAGAGAAAGGTAAAAAGGGAAGAAAAGACCAATTGGTCATGTCCTTTCAGATGTCTTTGAGAATAGGGGAGGGAAGAAAGAGAGAAAAGATAGAGGGGAACCTCAATGACCAAGGCAAGATGTAAGTGAGTAACAGGCAACTTTGTCAAGTAACTTTCAACAATTCAAATAAAGGAAAAAGTTACCATTAGTTACCATTGCTTAGGGAAGTTGCGAGAACATCAAAACAATCCATTTGGTAAGGCATCCCCCAATCTAATAGGCTTCAGCACAACTTTCAGACTTTAACGGTCCACTCTCTCAAAATCCTGCTCTACCTCAAG